CGGGTGAGAAATGTTCTCAAGAATAATCTTTGGGGGCTGGGACGTTGGTGGCTCAACCCTGTTAATCCCAGCACTTTGGGAGGGCGGGAGGCAGGCGGATCCACCTGAGGTCAGGAGTTTAAGGACCAGCCTGGCCAAAATGGCGAAACTCATCTCTACCAAAATACCAAAAAATACAATAATTAGCTGGGCATGGTGGTGTGCACCTGTAGTCCCCAGATACTCAGGAGGCTGAGGCAGGAGAATAGCTTGAACCCAGGAGGGCGACGTCTGCAGTGAGTAGAGATTAAACCACTGCATCCAGCCTGGGGGACAGAGGCAAGACTCCGTCTCACAAAAAAAAAAAAAAAAAAAAAAAAAAAAAAAAAAAAAAAAAGAAAGAAAAGAAAAGAAAAGAAAAAGAATAGTTTCTGGGAGACACTTGACCTATTTGTCCCATAGGATAAATAGAGCCTCAGCCAAGTGTTCTCGGCTGTGATAGGCTCAGATACTCCACGATTCTGGGTCATTGTGCAGAAAAGATATGCTTTGATATTTTGAGCTTTCTTTTGAAGACTTTGAAATAGATCTCATCTGGTTGTAGGGACCTGGTCACCTTGAGTCCCTTTACCCTTCATTAAAGGGTACCCTTACCCTGCTTGTGAGACAAATGAAGGTACTTTCTTGGTCTGTTGCTAGGGGAGCACAAAGCTCTGTCTGTGGTGATTATCAGAGCTCTGTCGGCCGGATTCCTTAGGGAAGCAAGTGACGGAAGCCTCCTTCGGATCCCCGGAGCCCTGCCTCTGTGTATTGGAGGTACTCTTGGCTCCTTGCTCTGCTAGAGAGGGCAGCCCCGGGACCCTGGGAGCTCTGTGTGCCCTCCGGCGGGGGTTTCTTAGGAAAGCGTGTAATCCTCATCATTTTTTTCTATGTCCCCCGCACTTCTTCTCCTCAATACTTCTTGTCTGCGCTTATCGCTAGAATGACGTTGGGCGAGTGTGGTGTGAAGAGCTCTCTCTCTCTAACTTTGGGCATTTTCCTCTTGGGGGGACTTTTCCACATGTGACTCAGGGCCAGGGCTCCGTGGCGGAGGCTACGTGTATGATGGTCGTGAGGAATATGTATGTCGGAGGCATCACCTTTGGTGGCATAGTAGGTACGGTCGCTTAAGGCTGCACGGGGAGAGAATGGTTGTTATGTGGGAAGCCGGTGATTTCCCCCTTTGTGAAGCGCAGCCATGCTTGTACGAGCTCCAGGTTGGAAGAGCTGGTCTCAGAAGTTGTAACTTACCGATTGGCTTATTAGTGAAGAATATGTGTCTGATTTTCTGCTGCCTAGCAGACGGATGGTAGATACCATGAATGTAACTGGGTTGGTTATTTGCGTTATTATCAGGAGTGCTGTGTATGTGAGAAAGGGAACTGTTTTAAAGCTGTAATCTCTCTCTTTTTCCCGCTCTCCATACTCTGATGCCTTAGCTAAGGTGACTGTGTTGCCCCTTCTCACTTCTGCATCCTCTTGAGACTTTTCCACTTGTGACTCCAGGGCCAGGCTCCTGTGGCCAGTCTGTATGAGCAGGAATGTATGTGAGCACCTTGTTATAGTAGGTGCAAGGCTGCGGGAGGAATCGTATGTGACCTTATTTTCCCCCTTGTGACACCATTCTGTAAGTCTCCAGTTGGAAGAGCTGGTCTCAGAGTGTAACTTACCAGGCAGTAAGAATATGGCTGATTTTCTGCTGCCACAGAGAGGGATCCTGAAATGATAAACTGGTGCAGAACAGAGTGGGTTTAGAAAGAGGTCAGGGGCTAGGGTGCCCTTCCCCAGGCTTCTGTGATTCTGGTCACACACAGTGGGTACCTTTGCTGGAACCATCAGCTCAACATGGGGAACAGAAAAAATGAGCTGTTCTGTACTGCGTGAAAGGGCCCTGGGGTGGGGTAAATATATTTTCTAGGACCCAGCAAACCTGGTTTTAAATTCTAGCTAGAAACTCTTGACCTTTGGTAAGTTATTAAGTTCTCTAAATCTTTATTTCCTCATCTGCAAAATAGAAAAATTTCTAGCTCTTCCCAAGAGTCATTGTCATGAGATAACTTATGCCCTATATCTGGCATTTAGCATATCTTTGCATATAGTAGATTCTCAATAAATGTTGGATTATTTCCCTGTATTTTATTTTCCCACATGTACACCCTGTTGTTTTATATCAAGATTAATATCTTTATATCAAGATTTATATCAAGATTCAGTTAGGTTTGGTGTCTCTGGAGGGAAGAAGGAAGGGGTTACCAGCGTCTTCTCTGATGCTTTTAGAGAGAAGCCTGAAATCAATCCTTGCCTGTCTGCATATCTGGACAAATAACTTTTAGTTACTCAGATAAACGTTGTGTTCCTACGATGCTGAACGTCAAATACAGGATGATGATGTCGACTGTGTGCATTTCATCCAACACTGGTATTCTGCACTGTGGCTGATGGGATTGCCTGTCATCATTGGCCCAATGGGTTAGCAACAGTGGTATGGGAGGGCGTGAGCTATGATTTAATAGGAGCTAGCATTTGTGAGGCACTATAGAAAATGTTTTTTACAAAAAGGCTTCATTGACATATAATTCATATATCATATAATTCACCCATTTAAAGTATATAATGCAATTATTTTTAGTATATTTACAGAGTTTTGCAATCATCACTACAATCTAAGTTAGAACATTTGCATCACTCCCAAAAGAAGCCGCGTGCTGACTAGCAACCCATCACCGCCCTCCTCCCAACACACGAAGTGCTTATTTAACCTCGCTTCATTTAACCACATGGTGGCCCATCAAGGAGTTGATAAAACTCTTGCCATTTTATCAACGAGGAGACTAAGGCTTGGAGATTGTAAGCAACTCACACAACATCATCCAGCAGAGTTTTCGTTGTAAATAACTGTTTCCACTCTATGGCACATGCACTTGAGAATCAAATCCAGGCAGCTTGATTTCAGACTCCATGTTCCTAACCCTCAACCCATGTTCCCTCCCACCCAGGGCAGGTGCATGTGCCACAGAGTGGAAATAGTTATTTACAATGAAAACTTATTCCAGCAGCTTCTGCCTTCCAAGGCCAAGGCCATGTTCTCCTATGAGTGGAAAAACAAATCTCAGGTTCACACCCTTCTGTTTGTAGAGATTTGATGGGGAGGAAGGGCTGGACTTTCCATGTCCCTCTCAGCCCTTCTGAGGTGCCAGAGGAGATGGGCCTCTGTTTCAGAAGAGGATATTGATCTTTGGGAAATAGAAAGACAGTCCTGGGATCAAGAAAGCAGCAAAGAGCACAACTGCCCTGCAGAAGAGCAAAAGGAGGAAAGTCATGAGAGCTAAAGGGACTCAGCAGCCTGGTGGGAGGGGGCGTGGTCAGTGAGGCATTTGAGATGCCAGGACAACTGCCTGCTGCTCACCGGCACTTGCTGGAATCCAGTGCTCAGTGGCAGGCATTGTGTGCTCAATGGTAGGCCTGGGTGGCCGTGATGCTAGCCCTGTTTGCAGCCCCGCATTCCACGAAGGTCAGAGATACAGGAACAGGTATCTTGTGAGTGGTTATGGGAAGGAAAAGGGGCTTGAGTTCTGAGTTTGGGTGTGTGCAGAGCCTCGCTAGAGGAGCCCTGTTCATTTGTAGACCTTGTGTGGCTGTGGGGGATGGTGATAGCTCTAGGCTATTTTATTTAACTCTTACGAGGTAGAGTGACTTGGACTGGCACCTAGATTGCTCTGGAGTTGTGCCATTTATGAGGAAAGTTGCATTAGTGTCATAGGTAGGTGTGTGAGTCAGGAGAAAGACTGTAACAGAAGGGAGAGAAAGGAGAAAGGAAGGTGGAGAGGGAAGAAGGGGTGTGTGTGTGTGTGTGTGTGTGTGTGTGTGTGTGTGTGTGCAGGGCGACACTGCAAAGGAACCACAAAGGTAATAAACTGACGTGGAAGGACTGTAGTTCTTAACATTTTATGGAGTCACAGATCACTCTGATAATCTGACGAAAGCTATGGACCCTTCCAGAAAAATAATGCACCTTTAACATATTAGGTATTTTGCCAAAATGGAGCACCCAAAGCCCATCTGCAGATCTAGATTGAGATGCTGCTGCGGAAACACTCACACCCTTGCTGTTCTACAGCTGGGAAGCCACTCTTCACTTTTGCTGCGTGTTTTCCTCCTGGAGCTCAGGCTTGTGGGCCTATGTTCAACAACGCCAGGGGCTATTCCTAGTGTATTCTTTACATGTGGATGTTTTCTTTGTGAGTTAAGAAAATACATCCCTTTTGGCCAGGTGCGGTGGCTCACACCTGTAATCCCAGCACTTTGGGAGGCTGAGGCAGGCAGATAACCTGAGGTCAGGAGTTTGAGACCAGCCTGGCTAATGTGAAATCTTGTCTCTACTAAAAATACAAAAATTAGCCAGGCGTGACGGTGCACGCCTGTAATCCCAGCTACCAGGGAGACTGAGGCAGGAGAATTGCTTAACCCGGGAAGGGGAGATTGCGGTGAGCCGAGAATGCACCACTGCACTCCAGCTTGGGCAACAGAATGAGACTCCATCTCAAAAAAAAAAAAAAAAAAAAGAAAAAAGAAAATACATCCCTTTTGAGGGGAAGTCACCTTACGGGGTTGTAGTTTGATATTATGGGCTGAATTGTGTCCATACCCTCTATCTCCCACCAAATTTCCTAGGTTGAAGCCCTAATCTGTAGTGCTTCAGAATGTGACTGTGTTTGGAGATAGGGTTGTTAAAACTGTAATTCAGGTTAAATGAGGTCATCGGGGGGACCCTAATCCAATATGACTGGTGTCCTTGTAGGAAGAGGAGACTAGGACACAGGCATGGAGGGAAGGCCGTGGAAAGGCTCAGGGAGAAGACCATCTGCAAAGCAAGGAGAGAGACCTCAGGGGAAACCGCTCTGCTAACATCTCCATCCCAGACTTTCAACTACCAGAACTGTGAGATAACAAATTTCTGTTGTTTAAGCCACCCAACCTGTGGTACTACACTTGGTTGGGGCAGCCCTACCAAACTCATATACTTGTGGAACAAGGCCAGGGCTGGCTGGATTCCTATCCCCCACATTTGGGTGGCTGGGAACCTTCTGCAGGGCACAGCTGCACAACTTGGCAAGGTGGCTTTGAGTGCCTTGGCACCTTCTGGGAACTCATCTGCAGGAGGACTTGCGTTACTCACCCACAAGCCTCCCCAGAAGGGAAAGCCTCCGTAGAATGAAATAGACAGGTAGTCCCCCACGAGAACTGTCGCCATGATGGAGCCGAGGCCGATGTGAGCCAGGCCGATGATGATCTGGATGGCCTGTCAGGAGAGCCACAAGCTGAAGTCTTGTTTCTGAGGCTGGGTCCTGCCTCCCCTATGAGCCTACTTTTAATTTTATTATGTGTTTTATTTTCATGGCCTAAAAAGTAATATGGGAAATACAGAAATGAAATAAAAACTACGTATAATCTCCCCGCTGCCTGGAGAAAACAACTGTTTACATTTTGGTGTATTCTCCCATTATTCTTTTCAAATATATACCTTGATAGCACAACATGGCCCTGAATTTTATTAACTTAATATTTCATCATGAATGTGTCCTCATGGTATTCTTGGAACATATGCTTTTTTGGGGCTGCTCAGATCCCATTATGGATGGTCTGTGGAGTAGTTGAGACAGAGTTATTGGACAGGTAAGATTATTTTTACTTTTTTCTATTATATGTAACATTGTGATAAACATTCTTGTATGTAAATCTTTGCCTTCATCTCTTATTTCTTTAGGATATTGTTATGTGTTGAATTATGCTCCCCTCTCCCAACCCTCTTCCAAATCCATATGTTGAAATTCTAACGCTGAGTGCCTCAGAATGTGACTCTATTTGAAATACGGTTGTTGCAGATGTAATTAGCCAGGATGAGGTCACACTGGAGTAGAATGGGTCTCTAATCCAATATGACTGGTATCCTTATAAAAAGTGCCATGTGGGCCAGGTGCAGTGGCTCACACCTGTAATCTCAGCACTTTGGGAAGCTGAGATGGGCAGATCACCTGAGGTCAGGAGTTCAAGACCAGCCTGGCCAACATGTGAAACCCTGTCTCTATAAAAATACAAAAATTAGCTAGGCATGATGGCAGGTGCCTGTAATTCTAGCTTCTTGGGAGGCTGAGGCAGGAGAATCACTTAAACCCAGGAGGCAGAGGTTGCACTGAGCCAAGATCGTGCCACTGCACTCCAGCCTGGGTGACAGAGTGAGACTCTGTCTCAAAAAAACAAAGAGTTTTCAACTTTATTCTGGTGTGAAAGTGACATGTATTCAGTAGAAACTGTATTTGGAGTACCCATACAACCATTCTGCTTTTCACTTTCAGTCCAGTATTCAATAAATTACATTAGATATTCAATAACTTATTATTAAATAGGCTTTGTGTTAGATGATTTTTGCCCAACTGTAGGCTAGCCTAAGTGTTCTGAACATGTTTAAGGTAGGTGAGGCTAAGCTATGATGATTGGTAGGTTACATGTATTAAATGTATTTTTGACTTATGATATTTTAAATTTATGATGGGTACATTGGGACATAATCCCATTGTAAATGAAAGAACATCTGTGTATGTTTGTATATTACACACGTGGTAGCAAATACAAATATATTATTTCCATAAATTCACATAAATGTCAGCAAATAATACGCAGTGTCTGCCCCTTTCTTTCTTCCATTAACTCCATATCTCGGGGTGTGTCCCTGTCATTACATAAAGAGCTTTCTTGTTCTTTTTATAGCTCCACTACATTTTATTCTTTGGATGCACGATATACTGACTTAACCAGTATTATATTGATGGATATTACAATTTTTTTGTTATCACAAACCACGCTGCAATGAATAAGCTCATACATATCACAGTTTTTGTGGATACAGGCATATCTGGAGGATGAAGTTCCAGTAATGGAATTATTGGATATTTTGCAAATTTGACAGTTGCAAATTTCCCTCCCTAAGGGTTGTATCAATTTATGTTCCCGTAGTGCTAGGGTCGGAGCTCGGGCAGTCTGCATCCGAATTCATGCTCATCATCATTTGGCTACACAGTGAAATGGGCCTTTCCTTGTCCTGCGCAGGACAGCCTTTCAGGGGCTGCTGTGAGCATTTATGTTGTTGATTGCCTAACCTGCTTTGTTTCCTGTTGGGCAACTATTTGATTCGATCTTACTGGATTCTGACTCCACCTTGTGGTCTGCTTTGGTCTTGCTGGGACCCCTTTCCCTTTCTTCTGAGGCCACTGGGCTGGGCATGGAGCCTGGCAACAGGATCAACATTCAAGCGCACTGCTTTTTTGTTGCTTTTCTTTCTCTTTCCTAAAATGCCTAAATCAGAAAATACAAGGCCCGTACAGAGGCCTCCCCCATGATGTTGTGCAGCTGAGCTTTCTTTCTAAGAGACCTGTGTTTGGCAAGGCGCGATCAGCTCAGCCTCACTTGCGAGACGTAGTGTTTGTGTATTTCCCAGGCCTTCCCTTCCCCTCTGCCGTCAGTCCAGCTGTGTAGTCCGTGGCCTGCAAAGGGAAATCCCACTTACCCCCAAGGTTTTGCCTTCTTTCAAAGTTTTCTGCACGGGCTGCCTATTCACATTTGACACCAAACCAGGTGGGTTCCCAGGAACTAGATGGACTTGTGGCTGGTTGTTTGGATACAGGGGCACCTGAGACATGATTCCTGGGGTCGCAGGATAACCATTGTGGGGTGCCACCACCAACACAGAATTGGCCACTGGAACTGCTGAATTCATCGAATTCATGCTGCCAAAAAATAAATGTGACAGAATTGTCTCTTACGTATGGACTTGTACTTACATTTAAAGAGGACTTTTACTTCTTCTAGCTCATTGGAGCATCTTAACCCTCTACAAGTTTATGAATCCCACGTTACAAATAATAGACATCAGTTATAGGGCACTTACAAGGTGCTTTACAAATACGTTTCCTTTCATCCTCTCACCCACCCAGTTTTACAGATGAGAGAACTAAGACTCAAAGAGGGTAAAGGCTACCGGAGGGCAAGGGGTCCGTCTTTCCATCTTTTTGTCTCTCGCAGTGTTTATTTTATTTTTTATTTTTTATTGTTTTTGAGACAGAGTCTCGCTCTGTCACCCAGGCTGGAGTGCAGTGGCACGATCCTGGCTCACTGCAATCTCCGCCTCCCAGGTTCAAGCAATTCTCCTGCCTCAGCCTCCTGAGTAGCTGGGATTACAGGCGCCCGCCACCACACCCGGCTAATTTTTATATTTTTAGTACAGATGGGGTTTCACCCTGTTGGCTAAGCTGGTCTCAAACTCCTGACCTCAGGTGATCCGCTCACCTTGGCCTCCCAAAGTGCTGGGATTACAGACGTGAACTACTGTGCCTGGTCTCTCATAGTGTTTAGAGTGCCGCTTTGCATATGTTAGTACTGGCTGAAAGCAAAATTTCAGAACTAGAAAATCTCTTGGACAACATTGAGTTCAATTCTCTTATTTTCTGGAAGAGGAAACGGGGTGAGAGAGTGGACAAGAATCCTCCAAGGTCCTAGTTATGTCAATATTAGTTAAATGGAGATTATCCTCCTCAAGGGAAGCCCCATTGCCAAGGCAGTGTATGTTCATTGGGTGGCTTCTACTGCTCAGTTTTCTAGGCTACTTAGAAATTCTGATGTGGTTTAAAAAATTCTTTTTGTTTCTCCCGTCCCTCTCCATTTCCTGTCTTTGTCTTTCTTTCTCTCGGAGCAGACCCAATAAAGCTAGTACAATACACTCTGCCTATCCTTCACCCACACTGGTTTGCCGTAAGTCTCATTTGGTAGAAAAACCTTATCACCAATTCCCAGTTACCAACCACTAGATTAAGCAGACTCACCTTGCTCTGCCAGCAGCCACGTATCTCTTGATCCTATTCCCTTTTCTTTGCTGTTGGGACCTTGCTTTTTCCCTGAGAGAACGAATGTACTGGGGCCAGTTGGGTGGTAGGGTTAGAAGGATCCAAAGTCCTCTATTTCCTGGATGCAGGCCAGGTTACGTGCTGCTTAGAGCTCAGTTTCCTTCATATTTATTTCCTGTTTTGGTTAATGAGACAGTGAAATATGGTTGGCTGGTTGCTCTGGGAGACACAGAATGAACTGGGCACCCAGGATGTGCTGTATTTAGCTGTAACATGAGACAGGATGACATAACAATTCTCGCCCAGTAATGAGGCCCTCAAACCTATCCCTCCACAGCCTAGTTTTCTCATGCCTGGTTCCTTTTGGCTAATCGGACTCCCTTGGAGTCACAGGCTCCCTTGAAGCCTGGTTCCTTTTCTACAAATCGGGCTCCCTTGAAGCCTCAGGTTCCCTTGAAGCCTGGTCTGCAGTTGCCATGGCAGCCTGGATTTCAGGCCCATGAAAGACCTGCTCAGCAGGTAATCTGGTCTCATCCTGGCCTTCAGGTTCTCAACTCTTCCTCCATTCAAAATTCCAACCTTTTTTCTGCTCCTGGTCCAGCTGCTACTGCTGTTGCCAACACTAACATTGCCGCTCATAAGCAACAAGTTACATACATTCCTGAAAATGACACTCCGCTTATGAGGGCTATAGCTCAGGCAAGGGAATATGGTGATCCTGAAGCCTGGCAATTTCCTGTAATTTTACAACCTCCAGTATCCACCACCCCAGTGGCACAAAATCACCCACAGCCCATTGATCCTGCTCAGCAAGTGGCTGACCCTGCAGCTCATCAAGATCAACAGCTTAATAATCAAGCCCCTCAGCCCGACAATCAGGCTGCTCAGGGAAATAATCAGGCTCCACTACTGCCTGCCGCTGGGGCACAGCCAGTACTTGGTATTCCAGCCGTTCAGGCAGTAGTTCAACCTGACCTCATACATCCAGGTCAGGTTCAGCTACTTCCTGCTACTTGGGCAAGTTTTTCGTTTAAATTCCTCAAAGATTTCAAGGAATCAGTAAAACAATATGGCACCAACTCTCCTTTTGTCCGTTCCACATTAAAAGCCCTGCCAGAAGATAAACATCTGGTGCCCTATGACTGGGAAATTTTAGCAAAGTCAGGCTTATCTAAATCCCAGTATTTACAACTCAGGACTTGGTGGGTTGATGCTGTCCAGGAATGTATTTGTCTTAATCAGGGCTCCAATCCTCTTGTTAACGTTACAGCTGGGACTGGGTCAGTGGGCTGCAATTCGAAACCAAACTATACCTAAATGATGAGGTTATTGAACAACCGCGAAAATGTTGCTTAAATGCTTGGGATAAGATTCAAGATGATGGCAAAGTATGTCCATCCTTTATGGCCGTCAGAAAGGGACACCATGAATCCTACCTAGACTTTATTGCCTGTCCCCAAGACGCAGCGGAAAAAGCTATCCCTGATAGCCACTGCCAACAACTTGTTGTGGAACTCATGGCTTACGAACAAGCAAATCCAGATTGTCAGGCAACTATTTGCCCCATTAAAGGCAAAATTCCACCAGGGGGTGATATACTCACCTCCTACCTTAAAGCCTGTGAAGAGATGGGAGGAACTCTGCACACAGCAATGATCATGGCACAAGCCACGGCCTCTATTTGAATGCCCAGACGATTCTCTGGCCAATGCTTTATACGCGGTCAGACGGGACATGCTAAAAGAAATTGTCCCTGGTGTATGGGTCGCTGTTCTTTTCAACACCACCACCACCACCACCACCAACAAAATTTTTCAGCAACAAAAAGTCCCACCTTCTACTTTATGTCCACGATGCCAAAAGGGAAATCACTGGGCTGCTCATTGCCATTTGAGATTTGATATTGATGGTAATCCTTTACGGTCTCTTAACAACCAGGGAAACGGGACGACGTGCCAGCCCCAGGCCCCTCTAAACAACGGGGCATTCCTCAACTCCCAGCCCCTGGTGTCTGGCCAGATGGGTGCCTTCCCAGTCCAATCCATTCAACCTCCACCCCAATTCCCACTTCAGCAATTTGTGCCACGGGATCTAACAGCTCAGCACGAATCTCAGTACAATGCTTGTCCCCTGCCACCACAGGCTCAGCAGCAGTAGATCTCTGTTGTACCAGAGATATTTCTCTGTTGCCTGGAGAGCCGCAGTTCCCACAGGTGTTTTTGGTCCCTTGCCGACTGGCAGTGTCGGTTTGCTACCTGGTCGTTCAAGTCTAAATTTAAAAGGTGTTCAAGTACATAATGGTGTAATTGATTCTGACTATTCAGGTGAAATTCATATTGTCATTAGCTCTGCAGTCCCTTGGAATGCGGCAGCTGGGGAGTGCATTGCTCAACTTTTGATATTCCCTTATATTCCTTTAGGATCCAGTTGTTGTACGAGAAATGGAGGTTTTGGTGGCACAGATTATCAAGGCAAAGCAGCTTATTGGGCCAGCAAAATTTCTGACACTTTTCCTATGTGCTCCATGCATATTCGAGGGAGGAAGTTTGAGGGAATGATTGATACAGGTGCTGATGTTTCTATTATCGATTTACATCAATGGCCCCGACACTGGCCAAAGGAGCGTGTGTCAGGCTTCAGAAGTCTATGAAAGTTCCACAATTTTACATAACATGGGCCCTGAAGGACAGATTGGAACTATTTGCCCCATCATTACACCCATTCCTGTTGACCTATGGGGAAGAGATCTTTCATATCAATGGAGGGGCACAGATTTCTTTTCCACAAGGCAATTACAGTCAGCAGAGTAAAGACATTATGACCAAAATGGGATTTGTTCAAGGTATGGGCTTAGGAAAATCAGCACAAGGCATCACCGAGCCTATTATACCTACCCATAAATCAGATTCTACAGGACTTGGTTATTCTTTTTAGAAGTGGTCATTATCAAGCCTCCAGATCCCATCCCTTTGACTTGGAAAACTCAGAAACTGGTTTGGGTAGATCAGTGGCCGCTCTCAAAAAGTAAGCTGGAGGCACTTCATATTTTGGTTCTTGAACAGTTAAAATTGGGACATATCAAACCCTTTTTTTCTCCCTGGAATTCACCTGTCTTTGTTATCCAAAAGAAGTCTGGTAAGTGGAGAATGCTCACTGATCTCAGGGCAGTAAACACTGTCCTTCAACCTATGGGGACATTACAACCCGGTTTGCCCTCCCCCACTATGATTCCCGAGTATTGGCCACTTATCATCATTGACCTTAAAGACTGCTTCTTTAACACTCCTCTGTCCCCTCAGGACTTTGAAAAATTTGCTTTCACAGTTCCAACCCTTAGCAACATCGCTCCTGCAGCACATTACCATTGGAAAGTCCTACCTGAAGGAATAGGACAACAGCCGTGTGGGTTCCCTCCTGACAACTGAAATCGCACCATAACTCCAAAGATAAAATGCTCCCAGAAACAAAAGGCAAAGACCCCTCAGAAACCAAAGAGCAAGCTTCGCCGCCTGGCACATAAACGTCATGACCTCGACACTGAGACAAAATCTCGCTGTGTGACCTACAATACCACTCGTTCAACTCCACCAACATGGGGTCAAATAAAGGTCTTATCCCATCGAACAGAAAAATTGTTAAAAGAAAAAGGAATCCCCAGAATGATGGGTAATATAATTCTGGCTGCCTTTATGGTAGTGCAGCGGTGAGTATACCACTAGTTGGGGCAACTCAAAATTATACCTACTGGGCATATGTTCCTTTTCCCCCTTTAATTCGGTCTGTCTCCTGGATGGACTCCTCAGTCGAAGTTTACACTAATAGTAGTGCATTCATGCTGGTCCCTAATGATGATAAGTTTCCAGCTCAACCAAAAGAAGAAGGTATGCACTTTAATCTGTCAATTGGCTATACATATCCAGCACTATGCATTGGGATGTCACCTGGTTGTTTAGCTTATTTTTACCAGAATTGGATGTGGACAGTACTGTCCTTTACAAATGATTCTTATCAAGTACATAATGTGTTCAGTTGCAATTCTTTTCAACTTCTGACTGTTAAACTTAATCCACATGAGGAATGGTGGGTTTCTGTCCCTACTAACAGCAATAAAACAAAAGGACTGCCAGACTGCCCAAAGGAACCTACAAAGGGAACTTTTCTAGTGAATTCAATTTTATGGAATGATTGTAATGCTCCCAAGGCTGTAGTGTTCCAAAGTCTAGCTACGGGTATTGTTATTGATTGGGCGCCAAAGCATTATTGGCGGGATTGCTCCGGCCAAAATACGACATGTTTGGAGTTAAATTATTTGTTACAATATGTAGATGACGACGGCAGTCCTACAGGTTGAGAGAATGGGTGTCTCCTTACCCATTCAAATGGATGGACGCAGGCATTGTTCCTCCTAGACCAAAAATGATTCATCCCATTGTTACCCCAGAACATCCTGAATTATGGAAATTAGCTGCAGTTATGACAGGAATAAAGATATGGAACGCTACCTATCAACTCTCTCCCACTAATACCAAAACACCATTCAACATCACCTTGATGTCTGAACAGGTGATACCTATCAGGAGCTGTGTCAAACCCCCTTACATGCTGTTGGTTGGAAATATAATTATCATTCCCAATACACAAACTATAGAACGTGATCATTGTAAGCTGTTCACGTGCATTGATGCTACTTTTAATCCCACAACAAGTATTCTCTTGGTAAGGGCTAGGGAGGGGGTATGGATACCAGTTTCTCTACGTCGTCCATGGGAGTCTTCCCCCTCCAGCGGTTGCAACGGCAGCAACCACTGGAGTTGCGATCCACGATTCTGTTCAAACTGCTCAATATGTTAAAGCATGGCAGAAAAACTCCTCCAGACTTTGGAATTCTCAGACTCAAGAATTCTTTGATCAAAAATTAGTTAATCAAATTAATGATCTCCGTCAAAGTGTAACATGGCTGGGAGATAGAGTTATGAATTTGGAACACTGTATGCAATTACAGTGTGATTGGAATACTTCTGATTACTGCATAATGCCTTATGCTTATAATAAAGATCAACATAGCTGGGAAAAGATCTCAAGACCTTTTTTAAAAGCCTAGGATGATAACTTAATCTTAGGTATTTCAAAACCTAAAGAACAAATTTTTGAGGCTTCACAGGCTTGTTTATCCACTG